GCTTCGTCTGCCCAGGCCTGTTGTAAGTTCCAATGGCGTATGGACATTCCATCATTGAGCTTGTGGGAAGTCTAGCCAATGTGCGGCAGGAGTCACTGGGACCGCGTTGCCTGACTGCAGCATGAAGCCAGCTGGTCCTCAACGCTCCATTGATCAGTCAAGAACTGCAGCTCCCGATGTCATCGGTCCTGCCTTGTGCTCCCGTCCTGTATTTTGCAGTGAGGGGACCCTCAGTGACATGTGCCTGGGGGGCAGTGGCATGCACCCCAAGGTGGTGCTAGTCAGTCTGGGCAGAGAGAGTCTCCAAGGTCCTCTGTACCAAGTTCCGCATTACTCAGAACCATCCTGCGTCTCTGTTACACGCAATGATCTGTCCGGTCATTATACCCCTTAGAAGCCCAGGTGACCACCCATGTCAGGACATCGTGGGGCAGGGTGTCAAGGCTAACCAAGACCACTAGCCATCCAGATGGACCTAATGACCTGTTGATGCTCGACAAACTGCTTAGCCCCACGTCTTTGATGTCCTTTTTCACAAGATTACTCTGACACTATCGTGGTTGATTGCTTCCCTTCCCGACTGGGCTCTCGTCCACGGTCGCCCTCAGGAGCCAGGCTTACACTGGGACATGGTATATAGAAGCTCTTCACAACGGCGCCAACTTGTGGTTTTCTCAATGTGACGCATGAACTTGCTCAATTACTGCCAGGTGCGAGGCATGCAAGAGAAGAAAGCTTGTCAGAGAATGCAGTATGGATGTACGTGCAGAGTGTAATGAGATGAGGGAGTACATGCCATTTCAACAGAGGCGGCTATTACTTCTCCACATAAAAAGTGGTAGCGAGGATTACCTCGAAACTTTAAAACTCTCAACCCTCCATCAGCGCCAACACCTTGATCCAGAGAGAGGAGGCTTGGACGGTAAGCATCCAATAGCATGCACAGAGGCACGCAGGGACTTTGAAAAAAGGGACGGATGGCCCCGAATCAGTTGGACATTCTGCTGAGCCATCTCAAGGCTAGGGCTTGAAAAATCACCCGGGCGCACACGCCAGAGCGCCAAAGGACTTCGGTAGCGTGCTCAACCGAAGAGGGGGGATGGAGAGGCTACAGGGGAAGTCGGGCAATACTGGACGAGGACCAGACTGAGCGGGTTCAAGACCAGTTCCAGGCAAGTCCTGGCCTGGAGCAGCCCGCAGGGTGGGATGATGCCGATTTGCAACAGCTGAACGCCCTCCGGGCAGGTCCCTTGCAGTGGGGGCGACGCGCTGGGGCTGGGCAGGGGGCTGGGGCTGGGCAGGGGGCTGGGGCTGGGCAGGGGGCTGGGGCTGGGCAGGGGGCTGGGACTGTCGGCCGGGCTGGGGCTGGGGGCTGGGGAGGGGCCGGGGGCTGGGCTGAGAGCCGGGGAGGGGCCGGGGCTGGCGCTCGGACTATCAGGGCAATACTGGACGAGAACCAGACTGAGCGGGTTCAGGACCAGTTCCAGGCAGGTCGTGGCCTGGAGCAGCCCACAGGGTGGGATGATGCCGATCTCGAACAGCTGAACGCCCTCTGGGCAGGTCCCTTGCAGTGGCGGAGATGCGCTGGGGCTGGGCAGGGGGCTGGGGCTGGGCGAGTCCTCAGGGCTGGGGCTTGGGGAATCCTGAGGGCTGGGTGAGGGAGAGTCCTCCGGGCTGGGGCTTGGGGAGTCCTCAGGGCTGGG